CGGAAAAAAAAAAAAAAAAAAAAAAAGAAGCTGCAGGAGGAGCCATAGAAAGTTGTCTTTCTGTTTTTGGTCTTACGTTGGAGCCATGTTCTTGCGAAAAAGAGCGGAAAATGAATTTAAAAAAAGATGGTCGAAAAGATCCCGAGTAGCTGCTCTCAGGTTCCTGGGTGGAGGTCCCAGTAGCACAGAGGATTGGATTCAGCTCATGAATCTGGACGCGGTATACGCATAGATGCAGAAAAGCAGATCAATTGCGATTTTATGCACCTCTCCACAAACACGTCCACATTCAGGCATTAAATCCAATCCTCTTGGGCTAGCGGGAGCTGCGGGGCCTCTTCTTTTTTTTTGTTTTTTTTGGGACAATGCTCCAATCTATTCGTGGGGAGCAGCACGTGCTGGGAACCGTGCCCGGTGTCCCATAAGGACATTTTCAGCTTCGACAGGGATCAAATTGATAAAAATAAAAATTGAGAGGACCTCCCCCTGCCAGCATTGATTACCTGCCCTGTTCGATGGAAAATCTAGCAGAGCAGACAGAAGTGGTGATATCCAATGGTTTGAATTTTCGACTAGGGGGGGGCGTGGTCCCACTAGCAAAGAGGATCGGATCGAATGCCTGAATCTGGACGTGTTTGTGGAGAGGTGCGGAAAATAGAGATTGGACTGCTTTTCTGCTCTGCTCTCTCCATAAAACATGTCCAGATTCGGGAACTTGATCCCATCCTCTTTGGTAGTGGGACCTCGGCCAGGGTGTAATGTCCAGACAGGATCTGGTTTTTCTTTTTTTTCCTTTGTTTTCACCAATTGTGAGGCCACAGCCTCGATGAGCCCCTTTTCAGGCCCTGTCAAGCGCACGTCGGCCGCCCTAAGTGAAGGCAGGCTCGACGAGGACCTGAGGGCCTTGTTTAGGCCACCACGCAACTAAGGAAATTCAGGCGGTTGCGCAGCGCCAGTTGGTTGAAAGAACCCAGGCCCTGGGCCGCCTGTTTGCATGTATCGAAGGCAGGCCCTGGGCTGGATACGGGATGTGGGCCAAACACAGGCAGAAGGCAGTTGGGCACAAGCAACCACCTCAGGCCCTGGGCCTGATCTGTTTTGAACTGGGCCTCAGCCTACCGGGGCCTACCGGAAGCTTCTTGGGAAAGGCCCAGCGCAGCCTTGGACAGAACGCAGGCAGGCCACTTCCATATAGCAAAGGGCCTGCCTCCGCATGGAATATTCGGGTGCTGGCTGCATGCTGCGCAAGCGCTGCTGGGCTGAAGCTGGCTAGCGCTCACGCGCTCACGAGCGAGCTGGAAGGAGCGGGCAGCCATAGCCGAGCTGCGCTGCTGGGAGCTGGGTGAGGCGCAGGGTGGTCCTTGGGTGCATGTGGCATCTGTGTGTTGGGGAACGAGGTTGTGAGTGATGCGAGAGACATACCTGATGCTGGAAGCGTGCGGCATTGGCCGCTATCTGCTCGTTCTTCGGGAGAGCTGTTGTCGTCATCTTTGGCATTGTAGTCTAGGCTAGATAGGATCTGCCATCTGTAGTCTGGCCGCCGAGCGCCAGATAGGATATCAACATTGGTTCTTCGTTGATGATGATGATGATGAGACTATTCCAGCATTGTCAATTATGAGCTTTTGGTGAAACTCGTGATGCAATTCTGCTCTTGGTTCGAGGTCACGACTATCTGGTCTAATGTGTATGATGCTGTTTGATTGCTGAAGTTCGCTATCGCTCATCTTCCTTGCACAAGCTTATATTCTTCTCTCACATCCATCCTTCACTACCTACCTACCTCTTCTCCTTAAGGCTATACAGACGGGACCCCTGCAAGCATAACTTACAGACGGGACCCCTGCAAGCATAGCTACCTCTCATGTGAGGGGGAAATTGCACGTTTGCCCTTGCCCTAGTAGTTTAGAGTGGTGCAGGGTTGGGGCCAGCAGTGGAGGCCCGGAGGCCCAGCCAACACAAAGACACAGCAGTTTGCGAGTAGCTGCACCTCCCTTTTCCTCCTCCCTCACCCCCATCAAGTAACAGCCGTGTCTAAGGCCAACACTCTCCCACACACAACACAACCCACTCAGACACACGCATGCCTGTGTTGTGTAAAGACCCTACTAACACCGACCAGGGGGAGCATGCTTACCCCAAAATTCGACGGAAAGGAGAAGGCTGAAAATGAGGAGTGTCCTCCTGGACATGCGCTAAAACTGGAATGATACAGATAAGATTAGCATGGCCCCGGCACCAGGATACCCATTACTTGGGAAATGGTCCCACGAAAAGAAAAAAGGACACGATATTACGATAAACAATTTAGATAGAAGTGAATAAATAATTTAAAATACTGAATAAACTATCATTTAAATAAATTAATTAATTAATGAATTAAATAATTAAATAAATAACTAAAATAAGTAAAAACCAAGTCAGGCCCGGCAACCGGCCGGTTCAGCTCTCGCCCGGTCCAACCGGGGACGCAGCGGCCCAGGGGGGTGAAATGGTGAACCGTTTTTTTTTGTAAATGCTTACTAAATGTTTAAAAAACGTCCTTTTTTATTTTTATTTTTTCTTCTGCGGATTCCAACTGCGCTATTTGAGATCTGTTAAAATCCGCATTAAAACTTTGAAGGCGCAGTTTTTTTTTTTTAAGGGGGTGTCCAGGGGGGTATGGCTGTCAGGGAGAGGGGTCAAGCTAAGAAGCTTATTTATCTGACTCTCACATGGCCCAAGTTTCGAATAAACTCTATAGGGGGTCGTAGCCTTCACACACCCACGACACCCGAGAAGCTGAATATTATATGCGGATGATGAGATCTGTACAGATCTGCATCAAAACTCTGACGGCGCAGTTTTTTTTTTTTTTAAGGGGGTTTTCCAGGGAGGGGGGGGGGGGGGGGGGGGGAAGGTATTATTAAACCACCAGTAAGTGCTCCGCGTTAACGGCCAGGCAAAAGTGGAAATCGCACCGTTTTTTCCACTTGGCCGAATTGGGCCTACCAGCCCAGGTCCGTTCATCCCCACAAGAGGTTAACGGGGCATCTGGTTTTCAGGCCTGAAATTTCTGAAATTAGGGTTTTGGGCTCAAATTTCATGTTTTTTTGGAATTTCAAGTTTTTGCTATATATGCATTTTGATAGGGTTGCCGTATATGAAATTTGGGGTTATTTGGAGTTTTAGAAT